GAACACGGCATCTCCTACATCAGGGGTGGGAACCTTTTTTCTGCCAAGGGTCATTTGGATATTTATAACATCAAAATTATCAACTTAAACTGACTCCCCAGCATCTCAGCCCATGAGAAACGTCACCTCCCTGAACTCCCCCTTTTCTCTCATGGCCTTTCGTTCAAAACAACCCTTCTAGCTTTCTCCTTTTTCTCCATAAAATAACTCTTCCACTTTGTTAGACTTGCCTGCAGTTTTTGCTGTAGCTAGCTTCCCCAAATTGCAATTCTTTGCTGTTCCCAAATTAAATGATTTTTGCCAGTAAGATAACTTTTATATTTAAGGGCAATGTGGAAAAATGAATGGCTTCTTAGAGTACCTTTAAGCATGCCAACATAAGTAATGGAAGTTCCAGATGAAGAGACAGAGAGGGAGATAAAATATTCATAGAAACAATGGTGTAAAACTTGCCAAATTTGATGGAAAACACTAGCCTACACATCCAAGAAGCCCAATAAACTCCAAATGGATAACAAACTCCAGACAGAATAAACACAAAGAGATCTACATCAAAAAGCTTGACAGGAGACTCTAATGTATATCTAGGATTGAGAACAACTCTTCTCTTAATAAATTCTTATATTTTTGTTTGTGTTAAAAAAAAGAGAGAGAGAGAGAGATCTACATCAAAGCACATTACAGTCAAAACACTAACCTTGAAAGCAGTAAAACAAACAAAAACAGAAGAAGATGATTCATCACAATGGAATGCACCCCTATATGATTAACAGCCGACTCCTCATCAGGAACAATAGGTTAGGAGACAGTGGTATGGCATAGGCAAAGCGTTCAAACTATCTTTCCAGAATGAAAGTAAAACAAATACAGTCCCAAATAAATCAATGCTGAGAGAATGCATTGTTCACAGACTTGCCTTCTAAGAAATACTAAGGATGATTTTTAGAATGAAAGCAAATGATACCAAACAGTTCAAATCCACAAAAACAAAACAGGGAGTCTAGAAAAGGTAAACACGTAGCTAATTATAAAAGAATAATCATAACTTCAGGCTGGGCTGTCACATATAGAGGTGTGGGCACAAGTAGGTTAAACTGCCAGGCATCATAAGTAAGGATACGAAATAAAATCAAGAAGACAAATAATACAAATAAATAATACAACAATTAACAAATAAGTAATACAAGAATAACTGTGTTCCCTGTATTCACAACTGTAAACCTACTTTTGTCCACCCCTGTAGAGATACAATTTGCATAACAATATAGTAGGACAAGGGGTGGCAGGGAATGGAGCTGTACAGATTCTATCTTTTATCTTTTACTGGAATTAAGACGTAAATACTGAAATATATCGGGGGCCCTACAAAGGATAACCGTTGTCAAAGAGTCTCTCCATGACCAAACACTGCTCAAGCTCCCCTGCGATTTCCTCAACCTTTCATAACAGCAAAAGCACAAGCAACAAAAGAAAACAAGATAAATTAGACCTCATCAAAATTAAAACCTTTGTGCTTCCAAGGACAATATCAAGAAAGTAAAAAGACAATTCACAAAATTTGAAAAAATATTTGCAAACCATACATAACTGATGGCTTGCCACCCAGAATATATAAAGAACTGTTAAAACTAAACAAAAAGATAAACACAATTTAAAAATGGGCAAAGGACATGAACACACATTTCTCTAAAGATATACAAATAACCAACAAGCTCATGAAAAGATACTCAACATCAAATGCAAATCAATGAAATACCATGTCACACCCACTAGGATGACTATAATAAAAAAAAAGACAATAACAAGAGTTGGTGAGGATGTGGAAGAATTGGAACCCTCATGTATTGCTGGTGGGAATGTAAAACGGTGCAGTCACTGTGGGAAATAGTCAAGCAATTCTTTTAAAAGTAAAACTCAGCATTCTGTACCACCCAGCAATTCCAATCCATAAATCCACTGAAAGCTCTGCACAGGAATGTTCACAGCATTATTCCCAATAGCCAACATTTAGAAACAACCTAAGTATCCATCAACTTATGAATGGACAAACAAAATGTGGTGGGTATGGTACACTACACCCATACAATGGAATGTTTCTCAGCCATTAAAAAAAAAGACAAAGAAATGAATGCTACAAAAATAATACTATGAGGAACCTCAAAAATATGCTAAGTGAAAGGACCCAGATATAAAAGGCCACATATTGTATACTAGAGGCCCGGTGCACGAAATTCATGCACTCGCGGGGGAGGGTCCCTCAGCCCAGCCTGCGCCCTCTCGCAATCCGGGACCCCTTGGGGGATGACCACCTGCCGGCTTAGGCCCGAAACCCCCAGGGATCAGGCCCAAGCTGGCAGTCAGACATCCCTCTTGCAGTCCAGGGCTCTCGCACTCTGGGACCCCTCGCTCCTTACCACTCACCTACAGCGGAGGCAGGAGAGGCTCCTGCCACCACCACTGCACTCGCCAGCCGTGAGCCCAGCTTCTGGCTGAGCAGCGCTCCCCCTGTGGGAGCGCACTGACCACCAGAGGGCAGCTCCTGCATTGAGCGTCTGCCCCCTGGTGGTCAGTGCACATCATAGTGACCGGTCTTTCTGCCGTTCAGTTTTGCATATTAGCCTTTTATTATATAGGATTCCATTTATATGACATGTGCAGAACAGGTAATCTATTGAGACAGAAAGTAGAAACATGGTTGCCTCAATTATTGATAATAGGGATTGCTTTTTAGGGTGATGAAAATGTTCTGAAATTTGTAAAAATCACAACTCTGTGAATATACCAAAAAATACCCAATGAATAGTCCACTTTAAATGGGTAAATTTTATGACATGTTAATTATATATCAATAGTTTTTATAAAATCCAGAACACTAGTACCAGACCCTAGGTTCAAACATCAGCTCCTCCATCAACAGTTGAGTGTCCTTGTTAGTTTAAACACTCAGCTTTTTCATCTGCAAAACAAGGGTTAGGGAAGTGGGGAAGATATAGTGACTGGCACCTAAAGTGCTCAATAAACATGGCTGGTCTCAAAGTCTTGGTCCACCTGGTCTTGTCTCTTTCCCCCTGCCAGCCCCTTGGTTGCACAGTAAATGTTTCCACAGCAGCCCAAGGGTCAGCCACTGATAAACAAAACGTAGTCTACCCATACCATAGAGGGTCATCCTGCCACAAAAGAATGACGCACTCATATACACAAGGTACAATCTGGATGAACATTGAAAACATGAGAAGTCCAAGAACCCAAACACAAAAACCACATCGATGACTCCATCCATGTGAAATGTTCACAGGAGACAGAAAGTAGATCAGTGGCTGCTCAGGGCGGAGTGGGAGGGGAGGGGTGACTGCTACATGTCAAAGGGTCTCTTTTCAGTCCCCTCCTCACTTTTTCATTAACTTTGGAAATTTCCTTCCTATTCCCAGCTCAGTAGGGATTTTAAAAAAAAGTTCTGCCATATTTGTATGGCATTTATGTTGTGGTGGTGTTACCGGGAAGTGGCCCGGTCCTGAGCAGGTCTGCCTAGGGCCAGCCTGTAGTGTGCGGGTTCTTAACTTCGTGCAGGAAAAGTTTCACAACACGAGTCCAGGTGAATTTTAGAAGACGTTTATTAAAGCTGGGGACAATGAAACAAAGGAAGGACTGGGGAAATGAGCCTAGGCTGGTCTGCTTTGGCTTACTAAGAAGAGAAAGGGGGTCATGGGGACAGGTTCAGGGGGTTTGCCTGAGATGAACTGCCACTGCCCATTGCCGCCCTGGTTGCAAGCCTTATGGGGTCCCTTAGAGTTAAGGATATGCACGCCTGTGGGTAAAAAAACAGAGAGGAGGCATAGTTGTGTTCCTGAAAGGGAAAGCATGGCACTGGGACCTTTGTTTTGAGGGGATTTTAAGACTGGGAATTTAGGGGAGGGTTTCAATAGAATATTCATCAGTTTTATGCTGATATACCAAAATGAGGTTTATTCTCTTAACTTCATCTGTCCTTAGGTATGGTTGGCATTAATGGCACTAACTGGATTTCTGTTACCTGTCTCCCTGATTAAGGTGATTTAAGCTAGTTACCCTCTGCTTGGGGAGAAGTGCAAACCATCCTATCCTATATAATAAAAGGTTAATATGCAAATCGACCGAATTGGGGGAACGACCAGTCGCTATGACGCACACTGACCATCAGGGGGCAGACGCTCAATGCAGGAGCTGCCCCCTGGTGGTCAATGCACTCCCACAGTGGGAGCGCTGCTCAGCCAGAAGCCAGGCTCAGGCAGAAGCCAGGCTCAGCCAGAAGCCAGCAGCACTAAGGATGTTGGACTGCTGGCTTAGGCTGGCTCCCTGTGGGGAGCGGGCCCAGCCATCAGTTAGCCATCCCAAGGGCTCCCGGACTGATGCAGGCCAGGCTGAGGGACGCCCCCCCCCCCCAAGTGCACGATTTTCGTGCACTTGAGCCTCTAGTCCCATATAATAAAAGCCTAATATGCAAATTGTCCCCTGGAGGGGGAGATGAAAGGGAGTTCAACCAGGGGGTAGGCTGGGCTGGCCAGCCAACTGCAGGAAGGAAGGTGGCAGCAGGCAGCTGCTGGGGTCCCTACCTGTACACAAATTTCGTACAATGGGCCTCTAGTTTATTCATAAGTGTGTCCTGGTTGAGGGAAGACAGAATTTACTAGATAGCTGAAACTGCTTGGCACCTAGACTTTCTAGATGGCTGCAAAGTGACTTGCCCTGGCTTACTGGCCTGTCTTAGTGGGAGGTGCCTGGTTCTCGCACACCTCAAGGCTGGGGCAAGTCAACCCTACCAGCCACGTGGGAAGAGCCTGGAGGCCCCCACACCTCGCCGACGGAGGTCACACAGCAAACATCGCGAGGGCAGTCCCCGGTCGCAGGAGACCGGCCTGGGGAAGCACGGGACCCTCAAAGCTGCAGTGTGGCGCCCCAAACAACCCCCGCAGACCCTACCCCCACCCCAACCGCCCAGGGCTGCCTCCTGGCTCCCAGTTTACCTTTCTCCCGACTCCGCCAGCCGAGGTCTGCGGAGGAGCCCCATCCTGGACCGGAAGCGCGAGGCCGGGCGCGGACTCCGCCGAGAGCCTCACGGCAGCCTGGTGCACGCGGGCCCGCAGCCCCCTCACTTTCCCCATGTCTCTGGGTGAGACCCACAGTGGACCGGAAGCCGCGGGGCGCACGAGACGGAGCCTGCAGGAAGATGCCCGGGCGGAAACTGGAGCCCAGGCAGCTGGGTTCCGATATCCTCCCTGCAGCGGCTGCGCAGTCTCTCGGAAGGGGCGGGGCCGCTGGGGGGCGGGGCCGGGGAGGGGAGGGGCCTTGTGTCCTAGTCCCGCCCGGTCCCCGCCCCCGAGAACGCCCCGCCTCCCAGGCGGATGCGGTCTAATTGCTGGAATCCAGGCAGCCTCGTTGTGATTTGGGGATGATGAATATGGAGCTGGATGGAGCAAGCTTGTTGAAAACACAGAGTGTGTTCACCGCACGGCACTTGTGCCTTTCATACAGTCTCTGAGGGAGAAAAAGAATCAGAGGACTGGGTGGGGCCCGCATATTATGAGAAGTGGTGACCTGTCTACAAGGGGAAATCTGAGACTGAATGAATATGGTTGAATCTAAGAGGAGCCCCAATAACCCTTGCCTGAGCGAGACCATTTGTTTTATTAACTGTGACTGAACCTTTACTTCGTGTCCATCTTTTTTTTTACAGCATTTCATTTACTCCTCAAAATAATTCCTGGAAATGGGGTGTAACTCGTCTGTTTAAACTGGAAACTACATGGTAGACTAACTTGTTGCAACACACACAAGTCACGTGCTAGGAAACTCCTCCACCAGGCCCTGAGTGAGCCTGCAGTTCACTTTCAGTCTCCTGTGCATCCAGCCCTGAGGGGGAACAAGCTGGTGTGGGGGTGACTTTCATCCTCAAAGAGCCCCTTGTTCTGTTAGGTACACACAGGAGTCCAGGCTCAGCCAGGAGAGAGGACACACCTCCCCCTCCCCACACAAGGGAGGCCTTGGGTGCCAGCACACAGGATTCTACCCTGTTTAAGAGCCCAGCCGAAACTCAATACAGAAAATGGGCTTTGAAGAGGAATAGTCGGCCCCAAAAAGGATGAAAAGGTGCTTGCCCTGGTGTGTGGTCCCCCCACTGCAGGCAAGTCAATGCTCTGTTTTAGTTGTTACAGGTCTGTTCGGGGTGTGCAGGACCTGACCTGTGCAGTTCTAAAATGTCCAACATGGATGGGGACGTTTGTAGATGATGAAGGCCCCTGGGTACAGCAGGCTGAACATACAGGAGCAAAGTCACAGCATGGATCCAAGCGGAGGCCAGAGAGAAGTGTCCCTGGAAGAACTTGAGAAGCCAGCGCCTGGGTGGGCCATCCCGCTCCTCTGTGAGAGTCCCTGGCTGTCAGTGCTTTTCCAGGCTCCAGGGCACCTTCCCAGCACCTCCCAGACCAGGGGGTTGAAAGGAGAGCCCAGCCTTCTTTGGCTGAACCTCCAGCTGGGCCGAGAGCTAGACTGGAGGAACCTCTGGGAAGTGAGAGCTTTGGCCCAGCCAGTGGGCTTTCTGGAGTGTGGAGAAGGCCATGCCCACCCCAAGTCGGGTCCCCACCAATCCCATGGAACCTCTGACTTCTTTAAGGGGGTGTCATCAGATGTGAAAGAGGCCTAGTTCCAACCAGTTATCCGAAGAAACATCTCGAGTCCCCAGCTGCGCCATGATAGAACAAGAACGCAGAGGTCATTTCTGCTCATGAAAGTCACGCAGGGGTGAGCTACGGGCATAGCACCCAGACTCAGAGACAAAGCCCAGTGGCATCGAGGACTGTCCTCTTGGCACCCCTCGCAGGGACACTAGGGGACACCCCAGAAGCAGCTCCATGGGCCCAGCATCGCTGACCTGACCTTTAACACACTCTGCATCCAACCAGCCTCATTTCCTGAGTTGTCCGAGGCAGGGAGACCCCAGCTTGGCTCCTGGCAGGTGACACGGTCCCCCGCCTGACCCAGGCAGTGATGTAGACACCTAAGCAGCTCCAGAGGCCTGCAGGCCGCTCAGTTTCAGGCTCTCCTTTTTGCTCCCTGTGCAACCCATGCTGTCTGGGTAAGAGGAAACGAATGTGAACTGCTCCAAAATGGACCTGTCAGAAACCCTGGGGCCCCTGATTCCCTGTCTTTCCTCTCATCTCTCTTGTGACCACCTACCTGTCCAGGGCACTCCATGCCAGAAGGGTACCCAGGCCATGATCTCCCTGGAAGGAACCCCTGACTTTGGCCTCCACGGGAACCCCCCTCCCCCACCCCACCCCCCTCAGCCATTCTGCCCTTCCAGGCGCTCAGCCCCATCTTGATCTGTCCAAGGCTTCAGTCTCCCGGCCTTGGTGGTCCCTTGTTCCAACGCCTGGCTGGGGCCTTGAGAGGTAATTCTTTTTTCTCTCTGATTCAATTTTTTTATCGCCGGAGGGCGCTCACGGACCAAGGAAGGCACACTGCTATTCGGCAGAGGTGAGGGCAAGGGCGCAGACTCAGGGGTGCCCGGAGGATCCCAGCTTTGGCCGGGGCGGGGGGGGGGGGG